GGGCTGGTCTTCACCACACGGGCATCTTCCCAGCGGGATCCCATGTGAGCTGTCCTTGCTTCCACAGAATGAGAGTTACGAAGGTTCTGGCATTCTTTGGATGTGCAGTTTGGTTTGGAAATGGGGTGAGAGGGAGGTCTAATTTACTTCTGTTCTTTCTTACCCATTGTGCAATTAAAAGTAACAATTCATATTATAACACCTACCATTTATAGCTCACTTGCTATGTGCTCAACACTGTTCTAAGGGACTTTTCTTCGTGTCTTATTTATAAAATGATTTTAAAGTAGAATCGATTTCTCTATCACCAAGATTGGCTTCTCCTTCTTTCAAGATCTATTTAACAGAAGAAGTTTGATAAAGACTATTTTTTGGTCCAAATCTGTATAGATTTGTTGAGATGGGAGGTATAATAAAACTATCATTTATTGAGTGTAACATACATCGGGCATCTTCTATGGATTCTGCCATTAAAGCATCAAAACAAATGTAGAGGGGGAGAGAATACTATTATTTTATTATTTTAAATGTGGTGCAAATTGACGCTTATGAAGGCCAACTAACTGGTTCATTTAGCTAGAAAATAGTAATGTTTTGACCCAGGCAATCTGAATCCAGGGCCTTCTCCTAATTTCTAATAATTCTGCCCCCAAATCTTGAAATCATGAGTGCATTTTGTCATTTTCCCACCATCATTCTGAAATGCTTGCTGGGTTCCCTCATCATCCTTTTTAATGTTATTCCTATACTTCTGTAGTTTTGCATGATCATTTAAAAAAAATCTCTATTTCTCCCACCATCACCATGGCATCTTCCCCATCTCTCGTTAAGACCCTGAACTTGAAAACTGCAATCATTTCATCCATTCTGTGGCACCAGTTGATAAAGGTATTGGAGGGGAAAGACCTATTGAGAAGGTTTTGAAAGTTGATCTGGTGACCTTCACTTCTAAGTTCAAAGGATCTTTTAAAGTTCTTTGCTTAGAGTCTCAGCCTATTTATTAAAGTTGAAAATATCCAATATACTCCCACAGGCCTCGTAGAAATGCCACTTCTGCTGTGAAGGCATGGGAACAATGAAATGCATTTGCATTGTATCACAAAAGCCATCATCCAATGAGCTTTCTGTATCTCAGTAGCCGCAGTTGTGAAATAGGAATTATAACAGTGCCCGGCTCCTAGGGGTATAGTGAGGACAAAATATAACAACACGGTAAAAGTACCCCAAACTGTGCCAGGCATGGGGAAAGTCAACACAGAATGATTATTATTGTTATTTTATAAGTAACCATATCTCAGGGGTGGCCACTATAGTGATGATCTTTGCAATTTTACAAAGTCACGCTACCGCTTTGTTTATCCATCATGAAAACTGGTCATCAGTGTGAGCCTTTTATGTTTCCAGGCCAGGCTCACGATGGCCGTGTGACACACAGACCTGCCTAGGCATAGCCCACGTGGATCCGATGGTCGCAGACAGGGCACTATTGTGTGTTTTAATGGTGTGAAAAAAATGACAGCAATGACTTTAATAAAAATACTTTATCAATAACAGCGAATGGGACCTTTGAAAGATCCCAGTCATAGTCATAGTGCATTTTCTATAAGAGATGATATGCTATAGGTAAAATTCAGAAATCTGGGGATGCAAGAAGATTTGGGGACAAAACCTAAGCGCCAAAGATAAACACAACACTGTGCTTTGTTTCTTTATAAGACATATGACCATTATCTGATTGTCCTAAGTCGGCACTTAGAGGGGCAGGGGGCTGCTCTTCTGTCCTATTTTTCTATTCTCTAAGCCAGCATTTTCCAGACTATTCCTCGGTATGTTACTTCCATGAGTGGTTGATGGTGGGCCTCAAAGAAAGGGCTCCTCTATCAAACGCGTGTGGTGAACTCTAAGATGAGTCTTTTCTCTGCAAACCAGGGGTCCCGCAGAACCTAACTGGCGAAGCTGCTGCTTTGCCCATGCTAATGAGGACACCACTCTCCTGAGATTACATTTTTATTGGCTTCTCAGACACTTAAAATGTGCAGATTATAGCTCCATTGGGGTTATTTTTCCAGAACATTAACCTCACCAATTACAAGTGAAATTTCCTACCATTTCTTCTTTTTCAGTTTCATTTTCTGAGAGTGAGAAAACTAGATTTCTTCCATAGGCTGATAATAGCCTCAACTCACCTGCCTAACCCCAGCCCTTGCTTCAGTGCTTGTTCCTTCTATTTTGGCTGCGTCTTTTCGAATTCTTCTGTGCTTCCCCCAGTGTGTGACCTTTTCTACTTCATCACCATCCTCTTCTCTCACAACCTTCACTCTCTGCATGACAGCTACTGATGTTTACGGGCTTTGTTAAAATGCCACCTCATTCATGGATTCAATTGTCAAATGTTGAGTACCTGTTTTGGGCCAGGTGTTGTTGAAGGATCCGAGTGAAAAGATTAGTGAAGGAATGGATTTACTCATCCCTCAGAGTTGGGGAGATCTGTTAAATAATGCATAGCTGGGCATGTTTATCTTTGAGGAAGAAAAGTGCTCTGTAAATCAGAGAACTATTACAATATTTACATGTTGGTCCCATGAAAAATGATATAAGCAGTTTTCACCATAATATGAATCCTGATAATTTGCATTTATATAGCACATTATTGGCACAACAACTTCGTCCCTGTGAGTAGCTTCATTTAAAGTGGTTTTGCTTTAATTATCTCTTACAGAGCAGCCATAAAAATGATTGTAAAATAATTTCCGAGTATGTGTGTTATTCATAAATGGTAAATAACAGTTAAATTATAAACACAATGCAGTAGAATTTGACATTTCTCAAGACATTATTTTAGTTGTTCACCTGATTGATGTAGTCAAATGTGGATCATTAACATCTGAATTAGGACAGACGCATGTCTGGGGAGTTAGGAGGGAATGTGCACTTGTCTTGGGAATATCTCAGAAGGAGACCCTAGTTTTACCATCTATCTAATTTTGTTCTGTCTTACTGTCTCCCAGTGTACTAAATGAAATTATTTCCAAAGGAAATCAAGACATTCACAAAGCATATATGTGTTCATGGGCTAACAATGTGAGCTCAGCTGTTTAAGTTGCCTTAAATACTAACTAAATGGACACTTCATAGACATCTCAGCAGTCATTCTATCCTCCACTAATGGAACTTCCCCTCTTTGCAAATCACTGTGAATGGCACCTTGGAAACAGCCATGAATGTCAGTCATGATCCCTGAGCATCAGTGCAACGAAGGAAGCCCCTGGTAACAGTCACATAATCACTTTTTTCTCCAGTGGTCTGGAGGTAAAAACTATTTTCACCAGCACTGCAGAGTTAAGTTTAGGGCTCCCAACCTCTACTGGGTGTAGCTGCTCTGTGGATTCCACATGAAGCCTATGGTTTTGCTTCTAACCCAACAGTTCCCAGCCTATTTGTCACCAAGGACCGGTTACATGGAAGACAATTTTTCCATGGATGGGGGGTTGGGGCAGAGCTCAGGTGGTGATGCCAGTGATGGGGAACAGTTATAACTACAGATGAAGTTTCACTCGCCCGCCCACTGCTCACCTCCTGCTGTGCAGCCCGTCCCTAACAGGCCATGGACCAGTACCAGGCCAAGGCCCAGAGGTTGGGGACCACAGTTCTAACCCATTATCTGATTCTCCTAGAGACTGGTCGAGGGGCAGGGCAGGAATGGTTATCTATCAGCCCTGTCCTACAGGTGAAGAGCTTGTAAGTCAGGGTACCAATGGTTTACCCAAAGGCAGAGACAGATAAATGAGACAGAACCTGAACTCAGATTTCCACTTACAATATTTTCTTTATAATGGGCTTATTGGGATGTAGCCCCGTCGTAAGTGCAGGAACAGCTGCATGTACTTTTCCCATTGTCATATGAATGAAGGAATGAATGAATGGGAAGCTCTCTGCTGACATCCTCTACTGGCTTCTCAGACTTTCTAAAGGAAAGCCATGTTCATTCACCTTTAGCATCTCTGACTTCACCTCCACTGCCTCCTCCTGCCTCACTCTTTCTCCCTTTGAACCACAGAGGACAGGAGCCCCTCCTTTGCCCCGTTGTTCCCTGAGACACTTTGAGCAAACACTGGGACTGGGGAGGGGTGGCCTCACACCCTCAGTCTCTATCCTCCACTCTGCCCTGGCTCTGGGCTGAAGTTCAGGGTCCACTTAATTTTAGATTTATGCTCTTGTATGACCTGTGATCCCAAGTGAGTGGAGATTAGGAGCCTTAAAATTAGCTCTGCAGTCCTGGCAGAAAATGTCGCCTTCAGAGCGCTCGAGGAGAAAAGTGATTATGTGGACGTGCCCAATATTACTGGGCACGTCCTTTGCTGGATGGCTGCTCAGTGGAGGGCACTCGTGCTCAACTCAATCGGCGAGATTTACTGAGGGCCTGTGCTGCGGGCCATGTGTGCAGGCCTCTGTACTATGATATTAATAGTTAGCCTACTGTGTGTGGATGTGAGTATGTTGCCTAGCTGGTCTGGCGGGGCTCCTTCTCGCATTGTTCTTGGCACATAAATGTTGATGGACTCAAATCAGACTGAATCTGATTTGCCTGAGTCTCAGTTTCCACATCTAGGATGAAGACGCTTTACTGGAGTGATGCCTAGGGGACTTCTAAAAAGGAAGCATGTCTTGGCTGGGGTAGGAATGTTGTCCTTAGAAAAGGTTTAGAAAGGGACTCCTCCTCCTCCTCCTCCTTTTACCTCTTCCTCTTCCTCCTCCTCCTCCTCCTCCTTTTACCTCTTCCTCTTCCTCCCCCTTCTTCACCCCTTCCCATCCCCTCTTCCTCCTCCTGCTCCTCCTCTCCCTCCTCCTCCCCCTTCTCCACCCCTCCTCCTCCACTCCTCCTCCTTCTTCTTCTTCTCCTCTTACTCCTCCTCCTTCTCTTCTTCCTCTTTTTCTTCTTCTTCTTCCTTCCTTCCTCCTCCTCCTTTTCCTCCTCCTCCTCCTCTTCTTCCTTCTTCCTTCTTCTTTCTTCTTCTTCCCATACATTCATCCCTAAAGAAAAGAACACATCTTGATTAAAATTCCAGCTCTACCACCTGCATTTGACTTCCCTGAGCCATTGGTACAACGGAGGACAGGTAATAATGCCTGTCTACAGCATTGGGTGGGGATTCAGCAACACACAGAAAGTGTTCAGGAAATATTTGTTGAATGAATGATTGGATCACTCATAAGAAAAGCTTTCCTTGAAGTGCACAGGCTCACTAAAAAGAAAAGCTTTCCATTTTAACAGGGCTTGACCAGAACTTCCCACACTGCCCTGGCTCCCCAAAGTTGTCAAGCTTTGGCACATAAAGGAAAGGACACTCTCACTCTGTCTCCATTCCCCAAGCAAGGGTTATTTGAGCAAAACATCATTAAGGTAGAGTCACTAAAATACTAAGTCCTTCATATCTTCAGTGGTAGGACTCTGGCTTCCGAGGTGTGATGTGGGCGAGGTTGTCCCTGTTTTCCCCCTAAGGCTGTTTACTCAGGGAGAGCAGATATCATGGTCTGTTTTATGCTCCAAGACTGCCACATGAAGGATGTTCCATGAGTATTTGTTGCAAAGAAATAACTCCTTCCTACTTCGGATATGATTTCCTGAGTAGTTCTGCAAACTGAGTATCTCCTTATTCAGGCAACCAAACTCTGCGAGCATCGGCCTCTCTCCCTACCTATTCCTACACTTGAGATTGAGATGAACTGAGTCAAATAATTCTTTAGATGGAAAACTTTTACTTTCTAGATTAGGACAGGAGAAGCTTGGTTAGTAGAGGAATCAGAGGAAAGGTCTACCACATACCCGTCTCAATCTAACCACTCCAAGGAAACACACGTAATCTAAACTTCCCTCAAATGAAATGATTTTATACCTTCCAGGGACACAGAAGACATGTCTACAATGCCAGGAATTCCATCACTTTGTTTAAATTAGATCTATTTGTATGGTTTAACAACATCAAACTGCTGTGCTTGTCCTAAAACAGGCTGTGGCTCATCTTAGTATTAAGTGTGGAACCTTTACCTTTAAAATCGTTCATCACTAACTCTGTTTTGTTTCGTTTTGGTTGTTATTTCTAAAATATACTGGTGCTATGATGTAGACTCAGTCCATGTCTTCCATAGGTTCTCTACATCTAGAAACTTGGGTAAGGTGAGGACTCGAATAGCTACATCACTGCTCACTAATTATAACTCACCAACAGCTTTGGTTAGTTGTTATCCAGATAGCTAAATTAATTAATAGAAGTGTTTAGTTCCTATAGTCTAGTCCTTTAGGAATTAACCCTCCCTGCTTGGTTTTCACTAGAAAGTCACCTCTGCTTGTATTTATACAGTTGCCCAACAAGCATATCTTGACCATATAATTTCAATTATCTCAGTGACTTCTCATTGCATTGTGCTTGTCATTCTAAATGATTTTATTTCGTCCTGACTGTCGGAAGCCTGCATTACAGTCACTGTAGATTCATTTCTAATTCTTAACCATCCCATTCCAGAAACTCTGATGACGTTACATTTATGAATTGTAAATACTATTTCTAATAAAATGATAAAGAATTTCCAGGGCCCTTCACATTTGTAAATAATAGGGATATTTCCCTGGCAACAACCAATTGCACTAGACAGGGAAAGTCATTCTATCAGGAATACTTACCCTTTGGCTTATTTCAATGTCAGAAAACCTCTTCATTCTGATTATTCCTTCAGTTCTGAGTCAGCCAAGACCACAGAGAGACTATGTAAATGGCTCAAGTGGAACAAGTATAAATAATAATTCTTAATGAGGAGACAGTCTGGCTCAGAAGAAGGCTGGCAACCTACAGATTAAGAAGTATCCTCCTGTTTCCTCATGAATTTATTCTAATGACCTTAGGAAAATCATTTGTTTTTGTGTGAGCACTTCCTAGTGAGTGGAGTCCACAATTCAAGAAAAGGAGACGAAGACAGTAGCATCCAAATAGTAGATACCAGTTACTGATCATTGCCCTGTGCCAGGCACTGTCACATGTGACCTCAATTCTCATGCTAAGCAGGAGGTTAGTTTTATTCTCATTTTACAGATAAGGAAGCACAGAGCTATTAGGTTCACACAGCTAGTAAGTAGAAAAACTCTATCTGAATTCAAAGTAAAATCATCTTATATGCTATATTTAATTTGCCTTTCTGCTGTTTCAAAGAGGCTGAAACTCTGAAGGGTATTCCAGTAATCTCTCCCTATCCATGGGGGATGCGTTCCAAGATTACAGTTACAGAACCATATACACTAGATACTATGTTTTCCTATACATGTGTACCTATGATCAAGTTTAATTTATAAATTAGGCACAGTAGGAGATTAACAACAATAATAAAATAGAACAATTCATTACAAGTAAAAAGTTCCTTTGGAGTCACCTGCTGCTGCTACCAGAGTGTGAGTCCCTCAAAGACAGGGGCTGGGTCACTCATGTTCATGCCCACAGCTCCCAGGGCAGAGCCAGGCAGGGGTTGCTCATAAATGTTAATGAAATGAATGGGGGCCAGGCCCACAGCTCCGTCTTTTTTTTTTTTTTTATAAGGTAACTGGATGAGGAAAAGATTGTAAGAACATGAAATGGCAGAACCTTTGGACAACCATTTTACCTCTTTTCAGGGGTGGAGAACCTGTGGCCTTCTGATTTCAAGATTGTTCTTTTTTAAGCACCAAAGGAGGTAAGAAAAAGCTTCATGTTTCTCTGCTGCACCCCTTTTAATAAAAGGACTTGTTCTATAAAACTTAGATTCAGTCAAAAGGCCAATGTCGCCCCCAGGGCCTCAGATTCCCCACCCCCCAGCTGGGATTCTTCTGTAAAGTGAGCAAGGGAAGAATTAGATGTTTCCTAAGGAAACCTCACTTCTCTGACATTCTAGAACTTCTTAGTTCTTGAAGGGCAAAGATGGAAAATAATGATTTCAGAATAGAAAGTGGATAATGTTCAAGGGGGTAGGGCTCACTGGAACCGGGAACCCCAGAAGGCCATCTGATTGCCTCCCACCATCCTGAGGTTGGGACTGAGCTCAGCCAAGCACTTCCCAGGACACCCTGGGCCAGCAAGAAATGAAGACTCACCCTCTGTAGTTTCCTCAGCTCTTCCTTAAATATTAACAACTTAACATTCTATATATTTCCTGAATAAAATTAAAACTCGACTAGATGTCCTGGTCCTCAAGGAGGAAGGCATGAGGCGGGTGGGGGACTTCTAGGTGGAATAATGAAAGCCCACAGGCTTCCCTGGGTTGTAAACATAATTTGGGGTCCTCTCCTCGTTTTCACAGCCAGGATTGTATCCTGCCTTCTCCCATTTCCCTTTCTCTCTGGCCTGTCCTCCCTGTAAGGCAGTTGGGTTGTTTTCAGATGTGAACAGTGCACTTGTAACGGCATCGGGTCAGGATCTCAGTGCCACTTGATGAGTCGGACAGTGCTGTATGATTCCTGGTGTCACCCGGAACCTTGGTAGAACAGTAAGTGCCAAAAGATCACTCAGCTAATAGAGTGGGGTGGAGACTCTAAATAGCTCATTTGGAAACTTGGGCTCAGAAGCTGGTGTCCAACATGGCTAAGACTGTTAGATTAATATGCCTAGAGGGTCAGGAATGAATGGGTTAAGTTCTGTAGCCTTTTAAAATTTTCAATTAGTGGCTTTAATAGGATAAGGCCTCATGAAGCTTAACAAGCTAAATGATGTGCTCATTCAGCATATCCTGGGAGTCAGGACCCCAAGATCTGCCTGCAGTGTGTTCTTCATTCAACCATCACATATTGGCATTTACCATGCACCAGATCCTGTTCTGACCCCATAGACTTATCTAGGGGGTGGAGAAGAAAGGCAAATATCAGGTGGTGGTACATGAAAAGGAGAAAAGAAAATCATAGAGGTGGGGAGTAGACAATGAAGGATGCAAAGCATGGAGACAGGTGGAGGCTGCTGTCATGGTCCAAGCACATGGTGACTTGAATCAGAGTGGTAGTCGTGGAGTTAGATGGTGAGAAGATCTGAATATATTTTTCAGGCAGAGCTTACAGAACTTTCTAAAGGTTGGATGTGGGGTATGTGGAAGGGAAGTCAAGGGTGACACCCAGCTTTTTGCCCTGAGGAATCAGAAGGATGGAGTCTCTATAATGAGAAGTGGAGATGGATTGCCTATTATTAGAGATCCTGGCACACTTAGAAATGGTCTGGAGTCTAGGGGAGGTCCAGGCTGACAGAATCAGGGGAGCAATTCTACATGGAAGTAGTATCCCTAAGCACCTACTAGGTGCTGGGACATGCACATACATCCTGTTCTACCTGAAAGGGGAAATTAATCAGTTGCACAGTTGTGATCAGTTTTCTGTTGGAAAAGCCATTAAGCTTCAGACATTGAGAGTGTTGACTATTAAAATAAATCAATTCCTGGTAGGACTTAGGAGTCCTTTCTGGGGCAGATGGGGAATACCATCACTTCTTGCCCATTCCCAAGATTCTGATTTCCAAAGCTTAGACTAGGAGAACATTGGCCTATTTTTCTCACAGATCAATAACATTACCTGCTCCTGCCTGTCATGTTGGCTACCTCTCAAGAGTAAATCTCTTGGGATACCTCAGACCCAGCACAAACCTAGAAATAATAGCAGGATGACATATCAGAGCTGTCACCAGGCCAGGCATCAAGAGGCTCACCTGTCTCCAGTGCTGGGAAGCTTGTCAAAATTCCAGCTGTTGTCAGCATGAATCAGTGCCTAACAGGACCTGGACCAAGTTTTGTAGCACCTCAAGCCTGTCAATGTCATCAAAGGCCACCCAGCCTGGACAGGGGAGCCAGGCAGGTGCAAGAGCCGTGGCAGGAATAGAATGTGGAATGCAGAATGCTTACCTGTTATATCCCCCACCTTTCTCCTGGAGCCTGTGCAAAACAGTCATTTTTGTCCAGAATACTTTATTTACACTTATAAACCACAACCATAGCTTTGCTTAAAATGATTGAGAAACTAAACATCTAACCTAGCTGTTTCTGGGACTCTAATGTGCACTCAATAAACATTTGTTGAATAGTGAATTAATGTCACTGTACATTTGCTGAAATAAGTGAAAAACTGAATTTACTTTTAATTCTCAAGAATAGTCATAGCTTTGGTGCTTGCTAAGGATGCCTTAGAAAATACAGCTTGAAAAGAAAACTAAAAATGTCAGAGTTAATCTTCCAAGTGTCACTCTTTACTCAGTCATTTCTTTCTCATTGAGGTGGGAGCTCAAAACACCTGCTGGAATGAATGAATGTAACAGAAAATGTTGCTGCTAAGTGGGGGAATCTCATCTCCTTAGAAACCTTAAGAACAATTCTGTGCAGCATTGTAAATGGAGCTGCCAGAATTGGCCAAAGTTTTGCTTAAAATGATTGAAAAACTAAACATCTAACCTAGCAGTTTCTGAGTCACTAATATACACTCGATAAACATTTATTGCAGGTTTGGCTAAAGCCAAACAGTGGCTTTAGCAGTGTAGACTAGGACATGTGAGCTCTGGCATTAATCCGAGAAGCAGGACTTTGTAGTCATCTTCTTCTTCAGCCACGGGACAAAGGCCTGTGGCCCAGGGCCCCCGTAGTTAGTCCTTAACATAAGATGGATATAAGCCACCTTGGTTGGTCACAGTTATTAGGTTGTCTTTCAGCAGGTATTGGAGGTCTTGACTTGTTAGATCCTCCCGCCCCTACCCCTGCCACTAGGTAGTGCAGTGAAGCAGGTCTCACTCTGAATTCTGCCATTCATAAGTCTGTAATAGTAGCAGGCACAAAATAGTCTCACGTCTGTTGTTTAGTTTGAAGTCTCAGCAACCCGTCCTTTCAGTCTGCAATGCGCATGTTGCGTGCAGGTGTGACCGTACCCTGGCAGCAGGCTTCAGCTAGCCTTCCGGTGGGGGACAATTCTCTGGAAGTGGCTTAGCAGGATGGAGTCCTTAGGCCTTTGCTGCCAGTTCTAAGTGTTGAGGCTGCTGAGCTCCAGGGAAACACCTGTACGATAGTTCCAGGCAACCCACATGCCTTAAACACCACTCTTTTCACCAATAAAAAGAGTCTTTTATGATATCCATTATGGCAAATGACTCTGGTGCTTACTGGAGACAAAGAAGGTTGAGCTTGTCTGAGGCTTGTAGTAACAGCCCCCGAATTGGGGGCTTCTGATTACTCTTTCAAATGCTCAATAAGCCATCTCTAGAGTGTGTCTTCCCAATTCTGGTGCTTCAGAGGGTAAACAACCACCCCTCCAGGGGAGGACAGAACTATCCTGCAGACCATATGTCACAAGGGGACACCCATGGGAAGTCCATGGGTCCACTCTTCTCTGAGAGGCCATACTGCCTCTGAGAAGGAGACAGAAAAGTATAACGGGATGTGAGAAATGCCAAGACAGGGCTAACTTTAGGAGGCTCTGGCAGAACACAAGAGGGGCAACAATGAAGCTTAAGCAATCAGAAAAAACCGATTCTAGAGGCAGAAAAATCGACCTCTATAAAAGCATGTAGAAAGGCCCAGAAGGGAGTCAGCAGGGAGGGCAGTGTGGCTGGCCTGCAGGTTGGTGATAGGAACAGATGGGAAGGTCCTGGAAGGCCCCTGAGGCCAAGCTGGGAGTCTGGACCAGGTGCTGAGTGCAGGGAGGAGCCACAGACTCTCAGACAGGCGCCTCTCCTTTAAATGACAGGTGCAGGCTTTAAACTTTCTCAGAAACTTAACTTGGGCCCTCGTGCAAAAATAACACAGGGGCCAGTGTAGCTCCACTCGCTTTCATTAGGCCGGAGAGGGCCCAGTGATGATGGCATCTGTGTCATCGGCATAGAAGTAAAGTGAGCAAGACTCCACCACGCTGAGATGGCCCCTTCCCTGGGTAGAAGCTAAACTGAAATTCTAAAATGACTTTATCATCACTCGTCTGAATACAATTGACTTCTTTTCATCATAGTAAACCAAGTCCCAGATACTAAAAACAGAAATCCAAGCTGCCATTGCCCATTCATATGAACAATTGGTATTTTGGCCTTGTAGGGAGACACACCAGCTCATGTTTACAGAGCTGTTTGCATTTGGTGCTGACAACACAATACAACTGAGAAAAGTCACCCTATGGAAAAATCTGTTTTCCTTCTGTTCTGAAAAGACAAATCCCACCACATCAGACTGTATAAGTATGTCCAGCATGCACAGAGAGCCGTAGACTAATGGACCCAGAAAAACCTGCCCCTCCCCATCCTGCTTACCTATAGGCCAACAGAGCGTTGGAAATATTTCCAGAAAAGAAACTTCATACCTTACTCACTCACACTCCCGTTTCCCATAATTAGCCAAGTCCTAATTATTCCCTGTATTGTCTCTGCCGCATGCATTAGTTTTGCAAGACAATGGCGCATAGGACAATGGTGCATAACTCAAACACAGGGCCCATCTAAATGAGCAACTGGCACAGGGCTCACAGGATGATTGCATTATTCATGAAAAGACATCAGAACAATTGGAGGATAACATTAGATTTTAAATCACAGCAGCAATTATAAGACAATTATCCAAAAGGGTATAATTGCCACAGCTACGGGTGTGTGGCAGAACCTACACAGCGTTCAGGCCACCTTCTTTCAATGCCACAAAGAAAACTGGTCTGTACATTGTAGGAGGAAATTCTGCAGGAGAAAACATTTGTATTCCCTCCCACTATGCCCTACACAGCAAGCAACCTGGAGGCTCAGTGGAGAACGTAGCCCCAAGCCAGGCTTAAATCTTGCAGGACCCCTGGCCTTGCTCACTCCAAACTGTGCTGATCTCAGTATTTGACCCTGTCCTTGTGCAAATTTCAGTCCAAGCCTAGAGCCTGAATCCCACTTGCAGATGCAGTCAATCTCCCGGCCAAGGGTGCCCGCTTGAGGCGGTGGGAAGGCACTTGCTTTGAAGCAAACTGGGATTTACTCACTGTTCTAATACTTACTGACAGCACAATCTATTAATAGTATCTGCTACTCGGAGCGAAGCTACCATGCACCGAGTGCACAATATGCAAGATACTTTTCATATCTTATTTAACTTAACCTCCATGAGTCCTGGTTTTTAAGCATTTGTTTATTCAACAAATATTTACCCAGCAATTTCTTTCTATCAGGTTCTGTTCTGAGAGCTTGGGTTACATAATGACTAAACAGAGCCCTGCCTTCATGGAGCTTACCTTACGTGGGAGTCATTTTGCACAACCCTCAGAGACCTCAGAGGTACAATGTACTGACGACAGCACCAGGAGAGCAAGGTATAAATTGCAATCAAAATATTCTCACTTAAGCCTGGTGTGATAGCACAAACCTGAAGTCCCAGCTACTCAGCAGGAGGCAGGAGGACTGCTTGAGCCCAGGTGTTCCTCAGTGAGCTATGCTCACACCACTGCACTCCAGCCTGGGTGACAGAGCAAGACCCTGTCTCTAGGGAAAAAAAAGAATGCTCACCTCTTTCTTAATCTCGATTCTTTTCTTCCCCTTCCATTTCTCTCTCCCTTCCTCCTCTGCTATCTTGGCTTTAGAACTAGATCTTTTTCATCCAGTCAGCAAATACTTGAGCAAAAAAATAAATAAATAAATAAATAAATAAGGGGGGGGGAAGAACTCTGCATCTTTTATAATCAATTCAATGCACATTTTTAGGCACCTATTAATTTTACAATATCTGGCAACATTTAAAATGTGTATATCCTTTCATCTAACAATTTCACTATTAAATCTTCATTGTACAATATACTTGAGCAGGATGGCTAAGAGATATTCAACGATATTCATTGTGGTATTGTTTGTGATAGTCTCAAACTTAAAACAATGTAAAATGTACATCAATAAGGGGACTATGAAATAAATTAAGGTACATACATATAGTGGGACATTATGCAGCTACTAAAACAATGCGCTGACCATGGAACAATGAGACCCCCACCAAAGGAAAAAGGAGAGTTTCAGAACGGTGTGTACAGTTGGATCCCAGATTTGTAAAATGAATTTCATACATACAGAGAATAACCACTGGAAGGATATGCACTGAAATATTATCTGGGGTGCCGCTGGAGACTAAGTTGGGGATAGGAAATCCTTTAGTTTTCTTCTTTACTTGTCTTCTGATTTAAAATTTATATCCATTACTTTTATAGTGAAAACAAAAATATATCTGACCCTTGAACATGGGTTTGAACTGCATGGGTCCAATTATACATGGATATTTTTCAGTAAAAGTCACACAAGTGTGCCTGTCTCTGCTATTTCTCCTGTCTCTCCTTCCACATCTACTTCTTCCACCTCTACCATGCTGGAGACAGCAGGACCAGCCTCCTCCTGCTCAACCTATTATTATTCAATGTGAAGACAATGAGGACAAAGACCATGAAGACTGTTATGCTGATCCTCTTTCACTTAATGAATAGTTAATGTATTTTCCTTCCATACAATTTCCTTAATAACATTTTCTTTTCTATAGCTTACTTTATTCTAAGAATACAGTATATATTTAGATATAATACATATAGAAATACAAAATATTAATATATGTTAATCAACTGTTTATGTTATTGGTAAGGCTTGTGGTCAGCATTAGGCTATTAGTAGTTAATAGGGAGTCAAAAGTTATATGTGGATCTTCTACTATGCAGGTGGTTGGTGCCCCTAACCCTGCGTAGTTCAAGGTCAACTCTATATAAAGAACATGAATCATCTCCACAGCCCCAGGCTATTAATGCTAAGAGGGCATAGCTTCCTGCCCTTGAGGAGTGTGATGATAAACTTTATGTGTCAACTTGGCCAGATATTTAGTCAAACATTATTCTGTGAAGATGTTTTTAGATGAGATTGACATTTAAATTGGTGGGCATTGGACAAAGCAAATTATACTCCATAATATGGGTAGGTCACATCCAATCAATTAAAGACCATAATGGAACAAAGACTGACCTCCCTTGAGCAAGAAGGAATCCTGCAGGCAGTCTCTCCCTCTCTCTCTCCCCACCCCCTCCTTTCCACAAACTATTGGTTCTGTTTCTAGGAGAACCACAACTCCAGGTTCTTTGGAGCTTGTGTTTTTTTAGTGGTGTAGTGACACTCCCAGGGGAGGAGTGGTTCTTCCAGGTGGTCCTTCAGGCTAAACATGTGATCAGTGGACACACCAAGGAGTGATTTGGGAGGTGATTCCAAAGTCCGTAATCTTCTTCAGCTAGAGAAGGAGATTAAATAAACATGAAACCTGAGAGAAACAAAAGCAGCCTCGAGGAACTCTTGCAGAAAATTGAGGCGGTTGCCTCTGGAAAACAAGGTATGAAGATTTGGGAAGTGCCCATTCCTTGTGACAAGGTGGGTGCTAAGCCCTGACCTCAAGGTCTCTTGGCAGCATCCACATCTCCAAGGGCTCTCATTCTTGAACACAATCTCCCCTTGGACAGGCCTGCAATCCAGGGATGTCCCAGGGAAAGGGACCCCCTGACGCCAGCTTTGGAAGATTAAAGGTTCTTCTCATTCCCCCCACCCCCCTCGGCGCTCCAGCTTGGAAGCTCCATCTTCCATGAATTCACCTATAGCCTTCAAATACAAAGAAGGTAAATCATTAAAACTTAGTTATGACTTTGTAGAAGAAAAACGTTTAAAATATACAGAATACAAAATAGGATATTTTGTTCCATGGATGCCATTGTGAAAAGTGATGCAAATGTACAAAAGGTTGTAAGGTAATAATAGAAAATAAAAACAGGTTTGGTTATGGTGGTGCAAGTGTGGAGAGTTCTCCCCCACTGTGCCCAACGACAGCTACAGCTTCTTTGTTAATGGTATTGCTCTTGCTGCTTGTCAATTAAAATGGAAGCACAGATGAGATCCTTTTGCCTGGGGAGGAAAGAAGAAAGAGAAGGAAAGAAAGAAAGAGAGAAAGAGAGAAAGAAAAAGACAGAGAGAAAAGAGAGAGAGAAAGCAAGAAAGCAAGAAAGAAAGAAAGAGAAAGAGAAAAAAAGAAAGAATGAACTCAGGGCCCTGAGTTAAAAAAAACTTATGCAAGGTCTCAAACCTGGCTAGAAGGTGTATTAATTTTCTAAAGCTACCATAACAAAATATCACAAACTGGGTGGCTTTAAAACAACCTAAATTTACTCTCTTACAGTTCTGAAAGCCAGAACTGTAAGGGATGGTGTCAGCAGGGTTGGCTCCCTCTGGGGGTTGTGAGGGGAATCTGTTCTGTGCCTCTCTCCTCGGGTGTGGAATCCTTGGTGTTCCTCAGCTTGGAGACACATCACCCTCTGCCTGTCTTCACGTGGTATTCTCCTCACCTGTGTGTTTATGTCTTTTTTTTTTCCTTCTTATAAAGACAACAGTCATTTTGGATTAGGGGCCACCCTTGTCTAATATGACCTCATTTTTGTCTAGATCACATTTGCAAAGACCTTATTTCCAAATAAGGTCACATCCATAGACACTGAGGGCTCAGACTTCCATGTGTCTTTTTGTGAGACACAAGGCAACCCAGGACAGGAGTCACACCCAGGTTTCCCTGAAACCAAAGCTATACTTTCAGGTGGGGCCTTTGGAAATCTGGACAGTACAATTACAGTAGGGATTTTACAGATACAAAATGAGGCAACAAATATCAGAAAATCATTCTATCTTGAAAATGCACACTGGGCAACTGGTGAATTATTTAAAAGCATCACACACACACACAAAAATACTTGGAAATATTTACATAAGCAATGCCTGAAATAAGGTGAAAATGAGTACTTCAGTAAGTATAGCAGGTTGTAGCACATCTGTGCTTGCTAGGTTCATCAGAAAGTCAATTTAGTTCTTAATTTTTTAACTCTCTGAGTACTAATTGGAGACTAAAAACATGTACAGCCTCTACCTGGCAAGAGAAGCAGGTATAACTCATTAGTAACTCAACATTGCTTCCATTATATATAGAAATAATTTAGGCATTCCCCCTTGCCCCAGTACATAGTATCAAATAATGAAATAGATTCACACACACATACACACACACACACACACACACACACACACACTCACAATAATTACAAAGGGAGCAACACTGTTAGCTTGGTTCTAAGGATGACACGAAATTCAATTGCAGTGTGTACATTTTCCTCTCAAGTATTTTTTAGTTCCTACAATAATTTCCATGATTTAGATTTAATCATTCCATCCCCATTTTCTCTAGAAAATCAAAATCGAAAGAAATAATCTAATTTGCTGACTGCACTGTGTGAACATTGCTCTTTGCATTAGCCAAACTTAAAAATCTATGCCGTATGAGCCAAAATTAAATTTTCTCATTGTTAAAAATGATCAGAATAATTCAGCAGAATGCCTCCGGGTTACGGTTTCTCTAATTACCTTCCATCCTGAATTCTTAATTAATTATATTCGGAGCCATGATAAAGTCCCTTTGTGCTCAGAGCCCATCCTCAGTCTTTTCTCATGCTAGGTGGATTATTTACACAGTAAATCTTATCACTGTGTTTTAGTTTTGTCCCTGAAGTTGCTGTTCCCTTGGTCATTTTAGTCTCATTTCTCTCAAAGTCAATGTCCTGCGATTTAGAACAAGCATCCCGACTGTTAGCCTTCCCACACACCAAGAGCCTCCTCACCTGTCACTGAATTCCTTTGTGACCTAGTTAAATGCTATTTTTTTTTTTCTGGGTCACAGAAATGATACAGCCTTAAAGTCTCTGCCTCAAGAAGCAGCTCCTGAGGTTGATCAGAGTCTTCACTAGAAAACGACTGGGCGAGAGATGTTGAGCCTTGGTACAGATATGCTAAGCCCGGGCATGCCTCTCTGTGCAGAACATGCTGGATAATGCTCCAAAGAACTTTCTCAGAAAACAAGACTCCAGAGACCACCTGAGCTTAACTCAAAGGATTTTTCTTTTTTTATTAATTTTTAAAGTCATTATAGAATGAACTATTTCTCCAGCAGCCAGACTAGATGGGGCCCCTGGAAATGATTAAAGCCCATTCTACGCAGTGGGGCCTGGATGAAAGTTGGGAAAAATAACACGTAGCTACCGTTTGCATGCTTAATATTTGCCAAACACTGTACCAAGCTCTTTGCATTATTGTCTTCTTGGAATCAACCTATCTTGTAGAAGCAACAGCTGAGGCACAGGGGGATTAAGTAACAGCACACAGCTGGGGAGTGTCAGGTCCAAGTTGGAAATCTAAAGCAGATTTCCCAGATGTTTAAGTATATGAGAATCACCTGGAGACCTTGTGGATACACAAATTCTGATTCAGTGGGTCTGGGATTCTGTATTTTTAGCAAGCTCCCTGGTGAGGCTGATGCTGCTGGTCGTGGCCCACAATTTGAGAAGCAAAGTGGTAGACCCCAACTCCACAGCCTGAGTAGTACAGTTGCTTCTGACAAAACTCAGGGAAATTCATGCTTTACGCAATTCCTTGTGTTTTTCCATATCAAGGAGACAGACAATCTCAAGGTTAAATGTTGTGCTAGAAAGATCATTCAGACTTGGCCTGATGTTATAGCAGCTCAGCATTTAATATTGTAGAATTTGCTGATGCTTTTCTTGGTAATATCTATCTTTCCTGGACCTTCCTATCCATATGGATGGCCTGAGAGCAAGGCATCTGGTGCTTTCGAGAACTGGTTCTGCCAGCCAGCCATCTGGTTCTCCTCTGTGTGTCTGTCCCTGGGCAGAAGTAGCACAGGTGGCAATGTTCATAGAAGTGGAGGCTTAGAGAGCCAGTTCTCATGGTGGCGGCATGGAGACATGGCAATCCTCAACCCAGGATCTCCTGGGAATCTAGAGCAGCAATATGGTTTCAGGAATATGGGCTAACTCCACAAACTTAGTGGAGATATTGAGTTATATAGATTGTTACATAGTGTAACTATTGGTGGAATTATCATCTGGAGGAAACTATTTGAAGGCAATTAAAATGGGGGAAAAACTTTTAAAAAAATTAAAGGAACACTTTTTTTTAAGTTTAAAATGTTTCCATTTTTAAAATTTATATACTTTTAAAATTTAATTTTTTTTTTAATTTAGATATGAGGTCTCACTATGTTGCCCAAGCTGGACTCAAACTCAAGGGATCCTCCCACCTCAGCCTCCCAGGTAGTTGGGACTATAGGCACATGTCACAGCACCCAGCTTGAAAATTTTCCATTTTTAAGCCACTTGTTCCTGCTTGGCTTGTTAGGCTGTTTTAATATTTGTGCCAGTTCCAAGTTATCACTTATTGTTAGATATTCAAGTTGTTCCAAATCCTCTTCATTAAAAACAGTATAGAATCGGCATAATTGACCGAAAATTAATTAGAATTTAAAAAGCAAAAGAATAGAGACAAAAATGGAAGAATTTTGATAAATGGGCCAAACTGCTTCAAGCTGCACATCTAGGTTGGGAAACCATCCAGTTGTGCATCAAAACTAGCAGTTATCCAAAACTGGTCACCAGAGATGATGGCAATTTTTGCTGGACTGACTGGACAGAATCATTCTCTGCCCAGCTTGCATTCACCCAGGATGCTTTTGGCAGCATCGTGTTGGCCAGATCCTTTCTTCCACGGAGGACAGGTAAAGAAGGCCCCACCTGAGCCACACAGAGAGCTTCGACTTGCTCACAATGGCCATTGTAAAAAAAAATGGAGCTTGGTAATTGCTAGGAGTTTGGGCAAACAGGGGAGTGTCAGATAGGTAGAAATTTCAGAGGGACTGGACATAAAGGAGTTCACATAGCAAGCCCGACTGCTGTCCTCTGGGAGGCCTGCTTACGAGACTGGCACTTGGCTGGTGTCTGGGAACTTGGACTTCAGGGGAGGTTCTCACCATTTCCAGAATGGTAAGAGTGGCTCACTAAGTCTAAACTGTGCAAACAATACTGTTTATGCAGAACACCAATATTTCCTCCTGGGAGCCTGGCGTTTTGGTACATGCCAGACACAGGCTGCCGACATGACCAGCTCCCAATAAAAATCCTGTGTGCTGTCTCCAATCAGCTTCCCTGGCTGGCAACATTTCACACATATGGTCATAACTTGTTGCTTGTGGGACATGGGGGTGGAGTTAAGCACACCCTGTGTGACTCCACTGGGAGAGGACCCTTGGAACCTGGTGTCTGGTTTCCCCTGCACTTGGCCCCATGTGCCTTTAATTTTTGCTGATTTTGTTTTGTATCCTTTTGTTGTAATACATCTTAACCATGAGTATGACTATGTGCAGAGTCCTGTGGATCTTCCTAGTGAACCATCAAACCCGGGAGTAGTCTTGGGGGTCCCAACCCAGGGACAGAAAAAAAAAAGTGACCTTTCCTTAGACATCTATTTCTAAGCTGCTAGCTAGTCCTTTTATCCTAATGAACCAGCAGAGGATAAAGCTAGACATAAAATGTCTTTTTTTTTTTTCCTCTTACCCTAAGAGATCAATACTATCTCTTAATTGACGTCTCTGGTTTGTTCTACCATTTTTGAGGTATGGGTGGTGATTTAAATGAATTTTCTTTCTGCTAAGGGTAACCACATGAAAGACACAGACATTGATATTTTCCTGGTGCTCAATTCACGAACACATCCACGTGGTGAGTGTTTGCGAGTTGGGAGACTTCCAGCATTTTTGACACAGGCCTCTCTATAAATCCTTTTCACTGAAGTTGCTAAATTTACCAAAACGAGGAAGGATTTAGGAGAAGGGGATTCAGCTGGGGACATCATTGATTAATTATTCAGTCAAAAACGTTTAATGAGGGCTGGATAGGCAATGAGAATCTCGGGCACGAGCATAATGAAGACACTACCCTACCCCCAACAGTTTACGGTGTAGTGGGGAGCCCGTGTGTGCTGGAGTTGGCTCATACGGGCTTGTGACAGCTGTTAGACCCTCAGGAATTTTGTGAGCCAGTCCCCATTACCTTGGTAACTTGAAATCAGCCATGATAGGTGTATTTATACCCTGGAAATTGGCAAAGATAACAAATTAGTGCCTCCCACCCCCTTTCAGCTGTTTGCTAAACATTTACCTGCATACCACTGTGGGGACAGACGAGTAACCAGAGGGTTGCTGTGCAGGGAGAACAGCCAAAGGTGAGCTCTTGAAATCAGTGAGGATGTCAGGTAAGGAGGAAGGAGATGAATGCCTACCAAGGAGGCATTCCCTAGAGGGTGGCTCCAGGGCTCCAGGATCCTGGCCAGGGTGGGGTGGCTGGAGTTTGATGCTGGCACAGACAGGGCCATCATTCTATCAGCAGCCCTTAGCGCCTGACAAAGGGCTTCTCCTTGCCCTTGCTCAGACATATGGGCAAGGCAAAGGGCGTGCTGCTCCTCCTGGAGTTCTTCCGGGTCGCAGGCTAACTTCTTATGACGTCACTTCCTTTAAGTCATCAGTTTGAGCCCTACTTCCCACCTCTCCCCAGCTTCTCCTGTATATGTTTTAAGTGTCTTTCACGCCGTATAGAAAAAGGTTCTGGAGCTTTTTGGAGGAAAACTCAAGTGCCAATGTTGCCCCCAACTTTTGGGAGAGAGGAACATTGGAGCTACTGCCTACAAGGGGTGGCGACTTGCTTAGGAGAGATTTCTGCGGAGGTGGCCCTCAATGAGCCTCATTTGTTCAAGCCTCCAGCAGTCTTCTCATTCTTCTCATTCGGGAAATCCCACAGGGTGTGTGCCCAGTAAGAAATTACATAAGATTTCAACTTTTTATCTTTCTGGAGCTAAGGGGGAAAAAAAGGTGAATAAGCACAACAAAACAAAAACATCCCCTTCAGAGTACAGACCTCTCTCTTTGAGGAGTAGACTAGAGATTTTTAAAGAGCCTTGTCTTTTAAAGAGGCTTGTCTTTCCACCCTGCTCTGCAGAATCTGCCCTCCTAAGGGTCAAGCAATTAATTAAAAACAAAGACAAGGAAACACTTAAAAAGAGTCAACACAATTGCTAGTTTCATTTTTTTCTTTTTACTTGAAAACTTGTTTTAACCATCAAATTTTGGCAGTTACAAACCTGTACACTGTTTTTTGTTGGTTTTTTTTTTTTTTGGCTGTCTGTTTTTTGTTTTGTTTTTATTTCATTTTTTAGAAAAAGAACACAAGACTGAATACTGCCAACAGCAATATATGCAGAAACGATCCATTTCTATAAGGGACACAATTCACTTTAAGTGTTAGCTTTCCCCTTTGCATAAGGTTTGGTGTGTGATGTGTGTGCAAGTTTAGGTGAGTGTGCATATGTATGAAGAAATGATATACCTCATTCTGACTCTGAAATGGCATAAAAATCAAATACTTATTAACTGGGCAAAGCACATTCATTAAAAAAAAAAGTCAATGAAAACATTTTCTTGAAAACAGAGAAAGTTAAATGAAAATCATAGAACAAAAGAAAGGTTACAATACATTTCGAAATGATTTAAAAACATCACTTTCAAATCTAAAATCCTTTCTGTGTGTGTAGTTACCTCAAAACTTTGCAGACCAACAGCGTGGATGACTTAGTGTTATATTCGACCCCCCAAATTAAAGCATCCTGATAGGCATAAAATATAGTATCTACAAAATCCTGGAAAATTGAAACCATTTATATACAATTTTATAAACATTTTAAACACCAAAACATACATCTTTTACAAACCAGCCTGTTTGCAACAGGCAAATGTACAAGACAATCTCTCTGATACAGTGCTTAAAAAGAACTGCTTCCATTTCCAAACACATTTGCCACTCCCAAAATGCAGTAGTATGGGCTCATAAGATTGTTAAATAGTAGCAATTCAGGTATTTGTTTGCTGGAAGGGTACTACCATACATACTAATGGGTCCAAACACGCTCCAAAGGACTAAACGATTCTCAAGTGCATCCTAAACACTGGAAGAGACTAATTATGGCCTTTGTGTATTATTACATACTTGTAATTATTGCTTTTCATTATTACACAAGGAAAGAAATACCTTATTCTTTTCCTATCTCTTAGCCAGCTGGCTAAATATTACCTGATGCCAAACCCACAAATGGTGACTTTAAACCCCAGCATCGTAACTGCCAGAAGCTCAAAGACATTGTGGATTTTCATCAGAATAATGTGCAGTTGAACATTGTGGGACACAAACCAGCAAAAACACGTAACCACCTTCTTACAGACCACACAAAATGATGACGCTGAATAAATGCCTCTTCAACTCTCCATTTCCCAGGTGTGAAACTAAAAACACTAAACGTAAAAGCCTAACCACTTTAGCAAAACCTGAGAGGGCAGTGGAGTGAAGAGGCCAGACGGTTATCTGGACAACCCGTGCAAGACGAACACTAGATCTTCCCGAATTACTTCACATAAAACTGTTTTCTGGGTCTTAAATAATTTATTTTGATCATCTCCTTTCTCAGGTCCCCTGTCCGTGGGGGCAGTGGTGGTTAGGGGGGAGGAGGGAAGGAAGCAGGAGAAGGCCAAGGGTATATAGAGTCGAGTCGCTTTTTAACCAGGCTGTGCTAGTGATTTGCAAGGGCAGTTCCAGGTAAATCCCAGAATGTATGAATAGTTCCCTTTCCAGGCCTTCACGCTGATTCTCTGATAGGATGAATCTCAAATATATGGACTTGACCTGCTCACATCACTAAGTTTACACCTGGTGGTTCATGAATGGGCAGGACAAGGCACAAGGAAAGCTGGCATGGACTAGAACTCAGCAGCAAAATATCCAGAGGAAAGGCATTGAACAAAGCACCTACTTGATTCGCCTTTTGTGGCCCCAAAGCCCTTGCTTACTGTGTGACAAAACCCAACAGTCCAGCTACTCTCAACCTAATCAGGATGTGTGCCGTATTAGTAAAGTGCCTCCAAGTTATGGAAAATGGCTTCCAGGAGGTGACACATGCATGTTAGAAAAAAAGACAAAAAACCAAATTGGTGTATTAATAGATATCTCCCATGTGATTCATCATGGTGGGAGGGGTAGGAATAGCAGCCAGCGTTGGTGGGAAAAAACACAAAAACAAAAACAAAAATGCACTCAGTAGGTAATAGTATAATCAAAGTTTCACTACAGTGGATGACTGGTCTGAGTTCAACTCAGTAATGATCATTTCATCCTCATTTTAGAAATGTTCATTTGGCAAAAGCAGAATTTTGAGGAATGTCCAAAGAAATGTGTGAATTATGAAACTGGACTTTTCCTGGAGGGCCTGTGAGGAAACAGAAGATCATGAAGCTTCCAGAGAAATATTCTCCATTGGTTTTCTTTCTAGCATATTCCAAAGAAAAGATGGTGGGAGGTTAGAGGGTGCATCAGAAGCAGGCGGCTCCCAAGCTCAAGGCAGTGTAGTGGTGAACAGAGTTAGGTAAAAAGAATACTGGCTGGATGGGCTGGTGTAGTCCTTGTTCAGATACTTTTTGAGTCCTGTGTGAGGGCTGTTGGTCCCTTCCCCGCTCTGGGCTTGTCTCCTCCTTGATAACACAAGGAGGTCGGACCAGCAAATCAGACCCTTCCAGCTCTTTGAATCAGCAGTCATCTCCACATAGTTCCATTCTGGCCTGACTGCAAACCATTTTGTAATCTACAGGGTAATTTTCTAAAAAGTGAAGCGATAAGCGATGTGTTTAAAGGTAATGAACAAAAACATAATACATGCTCGTCTGGTATATATTTAGCTGCAGAGCTATTCCGTGGAAAATCAGGGGAAGATATCCTGAATAGAGAGGTATTTTATATAGATCAGGGCCAAGGGTGGGTACAGTTTTCTTCAGTGACTTCACAACTGCGTTAGGATCTATTTATTCCTTCATTACTGTGTCAGTCAGGCACTTTCCCGTGAAGAGATGCTGTGTGAGCAGTAGTGACTCATTGGCATTAATCTAATTCTAATATTTCCTGGGGGCAAGAGATGAATTGTTGGTTTTACTTTGATGGTTTTTATGTCATTGCATTATTAAAAGTGTAGCAGTGATTCTATTCTAGACCATTAGTTTGTCATCTTTTCCATGATTCTTGCAAATGTGCTTCTTACATAAGAAAAATACCAAAGACTTTATTCTTGATAGCAGCCTTAGTGAAATTAATTTATTTCAAGACCACAGTGTGTGGATAATGCCTCCATGAGCAAGTCTAACCAAGAGACAGGAGGAAAAAGGCTGAAAAACCTGTGAAGTGTATCTACTTACTCAGGAAGTTTGGGAATGAAATGGATTTTTTTTTTTTTAACAACAAACATCCAGAAACACTTGCCTTCTACAGAGATGTAAGTGGATGAAACATGATTGAAACAACTAAAAATATATCTCAGTGGATGATACGCAGACTCAGAACAGTATGGTTTACACACCAATGCCATATGCCATCAGAAACTGTGAACACAGATTTGCTCATTAAGCAGATAGTGCAAATATGCATTTCTTTACCATGGCCACTGCACAGGTGGCCATAATCCGATTGAAGCAAAAGAGGAAAGTCACTCAACTTGTCAACTTTCAGTTTTGAGGACTGGGTCACTAAATTTCCAGTGGAATGATGCTCCTGTTAATTTTGGAAAGTCATGGCCAAAGAGATGGGAGGAGAACTCTAGGGTGTAATTAAGTATTACACATTTTTCAAACAGAGGTCAGTTCTAGAAAATTATAACAAAATACCGTTTTTAAAAAGCACAGTTTTGCTTTAAGTTAATATAAATGGCAGTACCAAAATAAAGTTAACTGAACCGGAGTAAAATATGGCATTCAATGTTTCTCTAACATCATAGAGATCAGAGAAATTGGAAGGTATGCCATGCTCATTGGCAGGATTTTCAACATGGTCTATTTCCTAAAACCTTCGCGTTAGCTTTCCTCAAGAGCAGCCTTATTGAGTGCAAGCACTTATTTGTACATAGGCCCAGACACACACACTATTGTAATTTATACACAATAACTAATCTACTTGCTTCTTCTCTTTTAAATGTAATTGTATTTATAATGGTGACACTACCAATTTAGAATAACACACACTTTTAATCTGCATTATCAAGAACTGTGATTATCCAGGCTAAAAACTTTGAAAGTGTCATTTTTTTTCCTTTTCCCCCAAATTTGTGAATTCTGCTTAAACTTCTAAGTATCTTTCATTCTAGAGAACAAGAGAGGAACAAAAGCCAATTTCTGCAGCCATGTGAGAACTGTCGTTACGGACAGGAATACTTACCAGAAAACACAAAACCAGATAATCACGTTCTTTCTAATGTTCGAACAACATTATTAACCTCCTCCCTAACCCACAAAATGGAACCCAAGTAGCTTCTTCATTGATCCCTTTCTCAAAGATCATAAAACCCAACTATGTCATATTGGATGCTTAACACAAATGAACAAAAATTAACTGAGCATACTAAAACATGTTACTCAAACCTAGTTTTATAGCTGAAAATTGGGCAGCTTATTAAAAAAAATAGAGTTGATTTTAAAGGCTTTAGCCCATTTTGTTTGTTTAATAATATTTGCTTCTCTTTTCTTTTGCCTAAGAGACTAACTTTTCCAACAATCATTACTACTATTTTCAATTCATTGGCTTAAAATTACATGCAACAACACTTCTTTGATTGTTGCCAGTTTTTAATACTGCAAGGATTGATGCTGTAACACTTCCCAGGGCTCAAGACTGCACAAAGCCATACGAGCTCTACGGCGTAACTCAGTGGGTGACATTTTCCCTCTTCCACACTCTTAGCCGGGAACGCAGGCACCCACATCCAGGGGTACCAGTCATCTCTCAGAAACAATTTCTGAGCCTTTCCTTTTCACCCAGTTGGAATCGAGCTTGCTTGTGACAGTATGACTTGGTGAAGAAGTTCCTGGTGGAAAATACCACACCTCCTTCTCGTTTCACCAACTACTTTCCATGGAGAGACTCGAGCCCAGCCAATCTCCTTCCACTTTTCCATAACCAACGGGGCCAAGTGCCCGGGACGTGGCCTCTCTCTACACCTGGGTCTGGTGCTGAGTCTCCACGAAGGGGACGTGAAGGCTGGCGAGGCTGAGCTCGCCCACGCTCTCGTAGTCACTCATGGCTACTTCGGAATCGTCGAAGCCACAGTTGGCCGACACATCCGAGGACGAGGTGCCTCTGGAATTGTGCAAGGACAGAGACACGCTGTCTGCCGGGCCTGTGGCCTCGGTGCCCTGGTTCATGCTCACGGCAAAAGTACTAAATTCACAGCCGGCAGGCGGGCCCACCAAATCCGTTTCGTTGGGGAAGGGGTGAGGAGGGAGGTACTGGCTAGGATGGAACTGGGGCCTTCTCCTGCAGTCTGGGCTCAGGGTGCTGGCCAGGGAGACAGGCTGGGAGGGTGGCAGGGCCTCGTACTGGTCTGGGAAGTCCTCTGGCAGAGGAGGAGGCAGCTGGTCCTGGCTCAAGAACTCCTCTTCGTGAGGGGGAGGGTATTCGCTGTCGATGTCATAGCCGCCCAGGTAGTAATCGCTCTCCAACTCCCGCGTGCTGCCCTGGTGTGCGGACCCTCCTTCCTGGTTTTCGTAGTTGGGCACCTCCTCTATGTCCGACAGCCGGGCCCCTGGCATCCAGTCAGAGGTGTCCCAGTGATAGGCTGCGAGAAAAAAAGCAGTGACAATTAATTTCCTCCAGACTGGAGCTAGGGCAGGGCTGGGAAATCAACAGAGAAGGGACCTGACATGCAGTTCTTGGCATCCAAGAGACCCTAAGAAGCCAGGGTCATGGGCATGCTTCTTACAAAGGTCTATCAGGGCCAGCCATGCTCTGGCCCAGGGAGAACAAGGTGATGGATGATGGCCGGTTGCTGCAGAGCTTCACATTCAGCCATGCCATGATTTGGCCAGCAAGAGCTCGCTAAGGGATAGTTCTAGGCCCCCTAAGCCCGCCCCCATGCTGTCTTCCTTTCCACGTGCCATGTGTGGAGCTGGGCTGGCAGCATGCTTGCAGAGAGGTACGGCAGCTATACTGTGGCCCACAGGGGCAGGGAGGTGTGCAGGAAAATGGGTGAATTACAAGCACAGGGGATGAGGCTAGGAGGGGAATGCTGATGCAGCCTTCACAACCAATACTGAGCACACAAGACACCTGGAACATGCAAAATTCAGATCAGGATGGAGGGACAGGGATGGGGTAAGAATGAACTCAGCAGTTCAAGATGCACAAATAAAAAGTTATGCTACGGTTGTGGCACAGTCACCTCGGTTGTAGTTCTGTCCTTGGTCCATGACAGACACTGTTTAAATACAAAGTGAAAAGTGAAACTGACAATCCAAGCCATGTGAAGAAGGATAAAAGAACATTTCAGGCAACTTTAAAAAAAATGTTCCTAAAGGCCTTTGGACTATGACTAAGTTTAGCTTTTTTCATTTCTCCCTATTGTTATTAAGGAAATAAAAAGATAAATCCCATTTATGCTGGGCCCTAATTTTATTAAGGCCCTAATAAAAGTTACCCAATTGAAATAAATATCCATAGTGTTACAGCTTTGTGACTTTTTTTTTTTTGAGACAGAGTCTCACTCTGTCGCCCGGACTAGAGTGCCGTGGCATCAGCCTAGCTCACAGCAACCTCAAACTTCTGGGCTCAAGCAATCCTCTTGCCTCAGCCTCCCAAGTAGCTGGGACTACAGCCATGTGCCACCATGCCTGACTAATTTTTTCTGTTTATTTCTAGTTGGCCAATTAATTTCTTTCTATTTTTTGTAGACACTGGGTCTCACTCTTGCTCAGGCTGATCTCGAACCCCTGACCTTGAGTGATCCTCCCACCTCGGCCTCCCAGAGTGCTAGGATTACAGGCATGAGCCACTGCTCCTGGCCTGAATGACTTCTTAAGTACTCTTAGCTCATAGTAGGTGCTCAATAAATACATGTCATATGTAAGAATGAATTTAGTATTAGTCTAGATTCCAACTAATTGAGTAGTCTTCTCTTGGAATTTTATAAAAAGAGTACCCCATACATTTAAAAAATTATGAGCTAGATTTTTTTTTCCAAAATTGTAAAACAAATCCCTAGAGAAAACACTCTACGTTTCATTTGAAACCACCTGTTTACTGCCCCTCAGTGGCCAATTGATTCAAATCTTCCCGAGTCCAAAATAACAAAGAAACAAAATTTCCAATAGGATAACTCTTTACACAAAGAAATGCTATGGAAGAAAAAAAGTAAATACCTTCATTCTCTATAGTGTCAACTACATTGTTGACAAGCTGAATGACAGTCACTATGGATGCTAGTGGTCAGGAAAAGAAGACAGAAGGGAGGGGAAGGACAGCTTCAGGTTAGTTGTGTATTTGGAACACACATTAACTTCTTTTAACAATGGCAACAACAGTGAAGGCGCAGCATGCAAACCTGAAGCCTCCCCGCAATCTGTCCCTTAGGGAGTGTGTCGGTGGACACTTTTATCTAGAGAGTCCCGGGAGTCTTGGAACAGAAGAGAAATGGCAGCAAATCCAGGCCCGGCCCTTCCAGGACTGTTGGGTCATAAATTCACACCTCATGGCCCAGTTACATCAATCTAGGAAGACAAGTGGCTTATCAAGCTCATGCTAATTTCTCATTAGCAACCCCCAAAGGCTCTCAGAGGAAGACCTCACTATGCCTGGGGATAATTATTTGTTGGTCAGTCATGCTGCTCAGAACCAAATGCCAGTCATAGAGGATAACCTTTGCAGGACTGATGGCTTCATAGTCACATGATGCCACCGATAGCCCAGGACAGTCCAAGGTGCGGCTCCCGCTGGTGAGGTGCAGACAGAAGTCAGCATTTGGCCTTTCAAACAGTTAGAATAGGGCAGGACATCTCTGCAGTCTCTGTGGGTTGCCTTCGCACCCAACACCAGCAGCTTTTGGAGAGGTGATCAGGCTTAAACCAAATTTCATGAAAGTTCCTAACACTACCACCTGCCTTAGTTGGGACCAAACACAGACTGTCAAGCATGAGAGGGCAAGTGTGTGACCTTACAGGGCACACGCAGCAGAGCCTGCGAGAACAGTCAACCAAGCACCGTTGCTGGAGTTGCTGCCTGGAGTCTGGACACTGTATGTCCTTTGGTGCTTCTACTTCGAATGCAAACTAGCCACAGATTTTCTTCTGGCTGCGGATAAGGAGAGGAGGGACACACCTGGGAAACAGATGTGGGGGTACAGTCCTGGCCTTCTAAGAATGGTCAGAAAAAATCCACTGTTGTAGGGTTTGTTATCCCAGCAGACAGATACAATGAAGCTTCTGCAATTCTCAGGAGGGCCAGGGTTTGGGGGTGGGGGTGCTAAGAGTATTTTATTTCCATGATTGTTCTGTGGTCTTGGGCTTCACCTGCTCCTCTATTCACCTTGGAGGTAAGGACTATGCCATCTTCATTTTATACTTCTGCGTACAAACAAAATACCGAGCACAGGACTCAGTACACATGAGAAGGTCAGCAAATATTTATGGGATGAATGATTACATAAATTAGTAAGTATCCAAGTTTTGCTGGTTGCTGATAAATAGGAAAGTGGTGTAAGCTACAGACTAAGGCGAGGCTGCCTGTCTCTGCGGATGACTATTTGAACTTGTTCTTGGTTTATCACCAATGTGGTAAATACTCACTGGTTTGCTTCCCTGCCCTGCCCCCGGGGAGAACAACCCAGCCTCCAAAGCTGGTTCCTTGGCTCAGAAAACCCAGTCTGGCATGAGCACCCCCTCCATATGCGTGGTTCACGAGAGGCAGAGGTAACGGCTTCGGAGTGTCAACACAGTCTCAGATCCACGAGGAACTGCATGCAATGTTTTGGGTGTATGTGCATTTTTCTAAGTAGCTGCTTCCTAGTTTTTAATAAATTCTCCAAAAGCCCATGACCTGAAATGATTATAAGGGGGATTCAACTGAATGAAGATATGTCACTGGTTTTGCAGGAAGGCTCTCATCTTTCTGAACTAATTTCTAATGAAGGGGAGGGTGGAGATCCAGTGATGAGGGAAGTGATCATTGGTAAAATAAAAAAAAAGAAAGAAATCACTCTGTTTGCTTGAAGAGCATCAGCTGGGATGAGGTAGTTGCACTGTGAACCAATTCAAAGAGAGCTCACTCCTGGAGGTCCACGTTCCTTCCTTAACCCCTAACGCAGATCCCTGGGCCTGCTCACAGCTCAGTGGGGACTCCTTTGGCAGTGACCCAATGATGGGTCAACCCCAAAGCTAGTGAATACACTCACAAGCCCATGAACAGGTCAAGAACAAAGCTGGTCCCAGCTCATCACCTTCCCCTCAACCACTGTCTTCCGGCACAGAAGCAGAACCCACCCGCTTGGAACAAATATGATGACTTCTTACCATTGTCGTCGCCAGAATCTGACTGGAAGGAGCTGAGGGACTGGACTTCAGAGTTGCTGCCTTTATTACTGCCGGCAAAGCAGGTCACTTCTCCCGGGTCATCAACCCCTTTATCTTCGTGGACAGCCAGAGAGAAAGCAGAAATGACACCGGTTACCTTGTGCCTATTTCATGTCCTGCCCACCCCCTCCCACCTAGTTCACTTCTTAGGGCTCTTTCATTTGCTTAGAGAAAATAATTTAGCTCCACGATAGAAAATTGACTGTGTCACTGGGGGGCAAAGGTCTGTCAATCAAGTGATTTACATTATGGATTCGAAACCTTTAACCCTGTAGCAAATGAGCTTCTGCACAGCTGACAGCCAAAAGGAGCTGCTCTCTCCTCAAAATGAAGCAACTACGTGGAGAGAGAACCAAGGATGAAGTGGCTGCATTGCTCTTTGCCATTCAAAGTTCATTTACATCATTTACATGAACTGATGAGGTGTCGACACCAGGTTAAATGAGATTACTTTTAAAATAGTGGCATAAATATTTTATAGGCAAGAATGCCATTACATTTATCCTAACTTCCATCTCTGGGGAGCGAGTGGCATTTTCAGCTTTGTCTTCTAGAGGGCAGCGTTGTATCATTTTTGGAAATGACAACATTCCTCGCCCTGTGTCGGGTAGGAGGGCAGCCGATGGTGTGGATGTGCCCGTGTCTACATGCATCCTCCTTCTTTGCTGTATAAAGACAACCAGAACACCACACACACACACATACACACACAGACACACACACACACGCACGCACGCGCACACACACACACGCACATGCATGCATGAACACACACTTTCTCTCCCTCTCCCCCCCAACTCTCTGGGGCTACTTTCTTACTTGATGGACTAAAGGAAGCAATAAAAACAGCCCATATCTTGAGGTTGTCAAGTGCAAAATGAATTACTTGCCCAGAGATTGTCTCTCCAGCTAACTCTGCCTTGCTTAACAAAGAAGGAAATGTATTCAATAAAACCCAACAATACTTTGGGGGGAAATGTGAATTTTGGCCTGGGGTAGATTCTGGAAATAAAGCTGTCATATCGAGAACGGGGTGGGGGAAATGATCTTCAGGAAAAGCTGCAAATGATCCTGTACCTTGGTGGTACAAAGAGACGCAGCCTTGTGATTAAGGGAACATTTGTTCCTCTTTGTGGCCACAGAAGTCAGTTTCTTCCACAAAGGGCGATGTCGGGAACAGGTATGGTGGCTCCGTGTCTGCTGTCAGGTGCTGAAGCCACAGCAACACAGTGAATTGCATAAACAACTGATATAAGTTGGGGGGAGACGCCAGGGAGAAATTCACCTCCCAACGAACGGCCACATAACAGAAAACATGAAGATGTGCCTCAAAAAGCCCAAGGTACGCACAAGCTTAGCCCTGAACAAGGGAAGGAAATGACAAATGATCTACCCCGGTGAATGCAGTGCTGTGCATAGAACTCCTTTCTCCACTCTTCCATTTATTTGGAACCCCCTTTTCTCATTGCTAAATAAAAAAGAGCCTATGAGCTACTAGACTGGCAAGACTATACTAAAGTCTAATTCTAACAGATAATTTGGAAGGGAATATATTTATGGTTACAACCCAAGGGCATCTACTTAAACTGTGTGTCTACAGAAAGACAGAATCAGCCAATAGCCTGTGGCGGTGGCACTAGAATAGAAAGGACTCAGCCCTCTCCCAGCATCAAGAAATCCTCTCCCTCAGATACCCTTGCCGCCCTGCTCTCCTTCCTGCCAAAGTGCCCGAGGGCAGTGCTGGGAAGAGCACAGGTTTGGAGCCTGATGCACCAGGTTCTAATCCCGACTCCTCCCTTTGCTAGTTACGTGCCCTTAGGTGAGTCATTTCACCCATCCAAGACAGTTTTTTCCTCCATAAAACGAAGGGCTGGTAACAGAGCCCACAGCTGTGAGGACTTAAGGAGATGTTGCAACACACAGCAGTAGTGGCTTTACGTTTATCTGCTGCCTTTGTTTTCTCACCAAATCTCTTTGTCCTTAACCCCTGCAGTCCGGTTTCTGCCTTGATGGTTCTACTGAGAAACTCTTGAGATCCTAAGAATCTTCTGGGTGTTAGGCTCGGTGTTTTTGTTTGTTTGTTTGTTTTAGCTTGTGTCTTCCTAGACGGTTTTATAGTACTCAACACTGCTGACCTTACTGACACACTCTCCCGGCTTCTGCACAGCTGCCCTCTCCACTTTCCCTCTTCTCTCTCTGCTGGCAAGTGTTTGTCTCCCTGCCGGGTTCCTTCCCTCTGCCCACTGCCCACATGTAGACATCTCCAGGGTTCCTTTGGAGGCCTGGTGGGACTGTCTTCCCTTTGCTCTTGCTCCCTGGGTGAGCCCACCGTCCTACAAAGTCAACCAGCCTGCATGCAGGTGATGTCCAAACTTTCACCTCTACCCTTGACCTCTCCCCTGAAAACAGAGCCAGACACCCCTCAGGTGAATCCTCTTCACCAACTGAGCTGCCTCCTCGCCAACAGTATCCTACCGAAATCTTATCCATGCTTGAAGATACCTGTAGGAATGCCCCTTCCTCCATGCAGACAAGGTTTATCTCCTTGGCTGCTCATCCTCTCTAGCTCCATTTAAAACCGTGCATCCTCCAGCCCCGCAACATATACTGTGTTTTCCCGAAAATAGGACAGGGTCTTATATTTATTTTCCCTCAAGAAGACACCTGAGGGTTTATTTTCAGGGGATGTGTTATTTTTCCCCTCAAAGCCTCAGCTTGCAGCACGCACAGGATGGCCAGGACCTGACAGGGGGAGCCGACCTTGTTGGTGGGGCTGCCCGCACCTTTCCGGTCACTTCTGGGATAGTAGCTGTCACCATGGGGCAGATGAGAAGGGCTGCTCATCTTCTTTACTGCTCCGCAAGGAAATGCACGGGCTGTGCAGATCCGCTGCATAGCCACGCCCATCACTAGGTCTTATTTTCAGGGTAGGGCTTATATTGCACAAATGCTTAAAAATCCTACTAGGGCTTATTTTATGGATGGGTCTTATTTTGGGGGAAACACAGCACTATGGAACTGTAATCACAGTCTCTAGGCTATCAAGGACACTGCTGCTGCTAGAATATAAAGCCATTTGGCCTGATGAAATCATAGGGTACAACAGAGCCTGCCTTAGTCTCACCCTGCTTGGAGCTAGGTGCAAACAACCACTGTCTCTCACCTAGATGTTTATAGAGGCTACCTAACTGGCTCTCTGCTTTCTTCCCTTTTCGGTCCCATTCAATCTCTTTCCAAGGATCAGCCAGAGCCAGCTTTAAAAAATGTAAATTAAATCATGTCACTCACGTGCTTTAAAACCTGCACCAGCACTGCTGTTAAAATGCACCTGCTCTCCTCTGGCGCTCACCAAGCTCCAACTACATTGACCTCCTCTGTGAAATTCTTCAACACACCAAGCTCTTTCCTACCCCAGGACCTTTGCACCTGCGGCTGTTCCCTGTGCCTAGAATGCTGCTGCATGGGGCCAAAAGGAGAGGGAAACACCACCACTTGGCTGGGACCACGTTTCCTGCCTTATGATTCCCCCCCTCTTGATTCGTGGACCCTGCAATTCCAGCTAAACAGAACAACTTGCTCTTCTTCTGATCATATGGGGCCCTCTGCCAGAATGCCTTCCTTTCCCCAGACCCTAGTTAACCCATCGTGGTCCAACTCAAATGCCCTTCTGCTTCCTTCACTCTGTCTTGAAATACTCTCCTTTTCCTACCGGCCTTCCAGAACACACTCCCATAGGTTACTTTCGCGGCTAGTCTCCTGCATTCCCGCCAATGGCCCGCTATTGTGAGAAGGCCGGTTTGTGAGTCTGGAAGACATGAATTTTGGGTACCGCCTGCCTCTCACACAGCTGCATGACTTCGGGCACGTGATGTTGCCCTGTCTGAGCCTCATTTTCCCATCTGTCAAGGAGGATAGGAACCAGGGCAATTTTTAGCGCAAGTGTGAACATTCAACGCCAGCACGCGCCACAGCGACCGCTCTGCACAGGCTGCTGCGCGTTCCCTCCCCCTCGCCTTAGTCCCGGGCGTGCAGGTCCCCAGCCCGCATGCGCAGAAGAACTCGTGTCGCCTTGCTACTGCCTACTCACTCTCAGTGCCCGCGTCCCAGCCATTCTTCCGGATGGAGTCGCAGTCGGAGCGGCAGGGCGACACGGCGGGCAGGTTGGGGGCCACGCTGCACACGACCACGCCCCGCCTGGCGGTGAGGATGCGCGGCGACTCGGGGTGAAACGTGGTCATCTCCTGGTGCTCGCCCCCCAGCCCGTCCACGATCTTGTCCAGGTTGCTCCTGGAGTCGCTCTGGAAGCAGGGCGTGTAGGCCATGGGGCGCACGGGCACCTGCGGCGGGCCCACCTCCTGGTACACGTTGCGGCCGTCCCCGCCGCCGCGCAGGCTGCGGAACGGGATGCCGTTGCTCTTGTGCAGCAGCGCGGCCGTGGCGGGGTCCTGCACCAGCGTGATGTTGTTGCGCGAGTAGTTCTTGCGGAAGACCTTCTTGCGGAAGACGATGAAGAGGACCACCAGGATGAAGATGACGAAGAGCACCACGGCGATGCCGATGAGCTCCTCCTTGCCCACGTAGGCGTGGCCGGCCTGGATGTTGGGCACCACCACGGGGCGCAGCCCGCAGTACTGGCCCACGAAGCCCGGCGTGCAGTTGCACAGGAAGGAGCCGAACACGTTGACGCAGGAGCCGCCGTTCTCGCACTCCTCCCGCTCGCACTCGTTGATGTCCTCCTCGCACCTTCAGCGACAAAACACACAGAAGCCCCTCCCCAACATCAGGACCCGCGGACACAGGCTGGTGTCCCGGAGCTCGAGCGAAAAACAGTGCTTTGGCCGGGCGCGGTGGCTCACGCCTGTAATCCTAGCGCTCTGGGAGGCCGAGGCGGGCGGATTGCTCGAGGTCAGGAGTTCAAAGCCAGCCTGAGCAAGAGCGAGACCGCTGTCTGTACTATAAATAGAAAGAAATTAATTGGCCAACTAATATATATATAGAAAAAACTAGCCGGGCATGGTGGCACATGCCTGTGGTCCCAGCTACTCTGGAGGCTGAGGCAGGAGGATCGCTTGAGCCCAGGAGTTTGAGGTTGCTGTGAGTTAGGCTGACGCCAGGGCACTCACTCTAGCCTGGGCAACAAAGTGAGACTCTGTCTCAAAAACAAACAAACAAAAAAACACAGTGCTTTATTTTCTTTCTTTAAAAGAAAAGAAAGAAAGAAAGAAAGAAAGATAAGAAGCATTTAAATGGTACAGATGAACAGAAGTGTGTGTGGGGATGGCGGGGCTTGAGGGAGGCTTAACTTAGGCATGGCTGTGCTCACGGTGGCCCCAGCCATCATCTTGTGTTAAGGTGTCCCATTGTCATTGTTAAGGTGTCCCAATGGGTCCCCTGGCCCATTGTCTCCCAGGTCCTCTATCCCCTACCCGGGTTGGGGGAGGGAAGAGAGCGCAAGGGGAGAGAAGACGAGTAGACAGGACGGAATGGCAAATGCTACTGAAGAGGTGGGTGCTGGTCTCCAAATCCTCCCCGCCAGATGCACTTCAGAATTTAAAATTGTGCAGTTTTAGAAAGGAGATGCGATACACATCTCTCACATTAAATAAAACACTCTCCCCTCCCCCACAAAGGAACTGGTGCTGGTCCTAAGATCCCATAATCAAATCTACTACTAGTGTTTCTGCAGTGAAACATATGGATATTCACAATAAATGAGAGAAATAAAGACTAGAAAGAGCCTCAGAGCAGTTTGGAACAGGTTTTGCCACCAAATCAGTTTGCCACGAACATACTCCAAACCCTTTTGGTTCTCAGAGCTTTTGGGATTGTAGAATTGCAGACAAAGAGCCGTGAACCTATATACCCATTATAGGGTTTCCCCAGAGGGAAAAAAAAAGTCTTTGGTTCTGACAGTTTCCTCTAATGGTTACAGTAATTTTTCATCCCTCTGGGAAGCTGGGGGCTGTGGCAGGTAGGTGGGTGACTAGAGGGTTACATATCTTCTAGATTCTCTGCTTATGTTAAAGGCTAGTAATAATGTAGATTATCAGGAAAAGAATAACTAAAGCATTCTAATGAAAAATAATTGAATCATTTTTATTCCCTTTAAAGCAATCCATGGCTCACTCTGAGTATAATTATAAGGTGAGCATTTAAGTCTTATTCTTTCCTTGAGAACATAGACCTTTTCTTCTTCACTTTTCTCTATTTCAGCAATTGTTCTGATATGTTCATTTAAAAGGTCCAGTCACCTATATTTTTGGTAATCCACCTTATAAAATGTAGTCGAACATCCCTAATTTGAACAGATTGGGGCCAGGTCAGCCGGAAATTAGTCAGAATCACAGAGTATTTAAAAATAAATGCTGCTTTATTACTTTAAATTACATCCAGCGATTCAAAGTCAGCTAAGTATTTCCTGGTAAAGTCCTCGGGAGATTTTCTCTAATGAATACATAAGACTGATCTGTAATTAGAATATCACTTGCTTGAGATTATATATACACTTCTAAAACTATCAAGGATGGTTGAAAGTGGCATTTTACTAAGAATTTAAAACATTCTCTTTCCATTCAGCAAACACTTTTTAATTTTGATCATTTCTTGGGGGGGGGGAAAGGTTTGCAAAGGAATGGTAAGTTTTAGTTTCTCAGAATGATCATAAAATGCTAGGCAGTGGAGTCCAGTTAATGGATTCTGGGGAAATAGGTAGTGTCTGCCTGAGAATTATACTGGTGGCATAGACGACTACCTTGAAAAGACTTGTTTTTGTAGTTATAGAATACACAGTTATTATATAAAGTTTTGAAGATATAAATAAGCATAAAGTAAAAAATATAAATTACTCATAATCCTACTACCCAGAGATAATCCCTATTAACATTTTAGTCACTTGTAAGCACTTTTTTTTTTATGTATAGTAGAGGTATTAATCCTTTGCTTGTCCTTTTAGTGGTAAACATTTTATCCCAGCTAGCTGTTTACTGGTTTGTTTTCTTAGCAACAGGTAGCAGTGTACAGAAAGACTATTGCACAATCTCACTTACGTGACTCCTGTGAGCCCAGCTTTGCAATTGCAGATGAAAGTGTTTCCTATTGGGTCGCAGGATCCTCCATTCCTGCAGGGGTTTGGGAAGCAGGCTGTGATCTCCGATTCACAGTTTCTCCCCGTGAACTGTGAGAGACAGGTACACTGATAGCCTGGGGAAACAGAGGACCTCATGAGCCACAGATGCCCCTGGTAAAGCTCAGAGAGCTTGGACTCAGCCCTAACACGTCCTCCTAATTCCTTGTTGAACCATATTTTAGGCAGCGCCCAAATTCCAAAGATGAAAAGCAAATTGGATATCTGGAACACATCTTGACACAAAAATGCCAAGTTACAGTTTGGATTCTCTGCTAGACCACAAAAATTCACCTAATTAACCACATACACGAATGCTAGTGAGAAATGCAGGAGATACCCAGGGGACAGATTCCAAGAACAAGGACGGAGATGGGAAGGAAGATGCTTTCTCCACAAGGGTACTACTATAAAAAGACGATGTTTCCAGATAGGAGTAGTTTACCATTGGTACCAAGCTACCTCCTTTCTGGAGCCCCTCTTATACCTCCCATGCCCTTTCTCCTTAGCCAGGAACTGAAATCCCCACCTGAGGAGGAAGTCACGGGAGAACAGGTAATATGAGGATATTTGTCAATCAAAGGAAACTCAGATTGGTACGTACACAGGGTAATGAAACAATCACAGCCTTCACCCAGCTCTTCTATTTGGATCCTGATTTTTGCATCTTTTTTACTTTCTCTACTCATGAATCCATCATATAGAAATGATTAGTGAGAACCCCACTCCAGAGAATATTAAATACAAAATGAGGTAATATTCTAAGAGGAAACAGCATTATCTACCTCTCAGAGATGGAAAAGATGAATAAATTAGAGTATTCTTTATGCCCTACTTTAAAAAAATCCCTAAGATTTTATTTTTAGCTAAAGCTATATGTGTTCATAGTAAAGAGGCAGAAAGTGGTGCAAGTTTTATTTTGTACAATAGCAGCCCCCCTCCCATTTACACTTGCTCAGAAGTAACCTGGACACCCCTTTTAGTATTTCAGTATTTCCTTCCAGGGTATTTTGCTGATTATTTTAGTTTTAGGCATTTTCTTCTGCCTTTCCACAATGTCCTTTATTTCAAGGCTTCAGCCCCATATGAACATGGGAACAGTCTTCTGATGCCCCTACCTCCCACTATGTAATATGGTAATTTTAGTTAGATCAATCATCAGTGTTTGCATTATTAGGACTATAAAATGCTATTTGTAGCCAAGTCATGTAGTAAACTATGATTATATTTCTATTTTCATGTACAACTTCTTGTTTTCCCTGGACTGAAAAAATGCCCTGTGTTTTGGCTTGCTTATTTCTGAATATATGTTAATTCAGCTCCAAACTCTTCATCAACTAGGTCTCTTGGCGTTTAGTTGCAACTGGTGTCCTGTATTTTCAGCCCCTGAAGAAGTCTCTCTTGTGGCCTTTCTGACTAGCTCCTCCTGAATAGCTGTCCTCCCACCCTGTTTTCTTGCTCTCCTGTGTTAGAGCTCATGTTTCCTGTATCATTTATCTTCCTTTCTCTTGGTTTACCCTCTCTTTTCATTAGAACACCTTCTACAGTAGCTTCCCGAAAAAGGATTTGTTTAAAGGAGATGATTTTTTGAGACCCTGCATAATTGAACATGTCTTTACTCCACCCTGACATCTCTCTGACAGTTAGGTTGTGTAAAAAGAATCCTAAACAATCCCTTCCATGTTTCTTGGAGAAATCCAAAGTCATTTGGGCTTCTGAAGTTTGTACATGACCTGTTTTTTTTTTCCCCCTAACATGTTGGAGGATCTTGTTTTTGCCCCCAACTTTCTGAAATTTTTCAAGGATGTACTTTAGTGTGGGTTTATTTTCAACCGATACTGGGTACTCAATGGGCCCTTGCAATCTGGAAATTCTTGTTCTTTAACTTTGGGAAAATTTATTATTTCATTGGTTATTTTCTTCCTTTGTTTTCTCTGTTCTGTTTTTATGGAAATTTTATTGTTTGAGTCTCAGATGTCCTGAACCTTCCTCTGGTTTTATTTTTCTCTCTTATATTACACCTCTGTAGAGGTTTGCTTTACTTTCCGAAAGAATGTCTCATCTTCTGAAATTTTTATTGAGATTTTCATTTATATTTTCATCTTCCAAGGGCTTTTTTGTTTACTGTTTTTTTTTTAAACACAGTATCCTGCTCCTGTGTTATGGTTACAATATCTTATCTCTCTGAGGATATTAACAATATTTCATGAAGTTTTCTCCCTGCATAGTTTCTTCCAATTTGCTTTTTTGTTTCTTTGTTTTGGTCTCTGTGATATTTAATTTTATGTGTCAATAAGACTAGGCTATTGGTGCCCAGTTATTTGGCCAAAGATGTTTCTGTGAAGGTGTTCATGGATGTAATTAAAATTTCTAAGCAGTCAACTTCAAATAAAGCATATTATTCTCCATAATGTGGGTGGGCCTTATCTATTCAGTTCAAGGCCTTAAGAAGGAGGAATTCTGCCTCAAAACTGCAACATGGAAGAAATCTTGCCTGAGTTTTCAGCTGCTGGCTTTCTCTGCAGATTTTGAATTCAGGACTACAAAATCAACTCTTACATGAATTTTCAACTTGCCAGCTTGCCATATAAATTTCACACTTGCCAGTCCCCATTATCACATGAGCCAATTCTTTACAATCAGTCTCTCTTCATCTCCATATATATACATGCAGGCATGAGTGTACACACACACACACACACACACACACTGTCCCAAACTTATGATGGGTTGACCTTGGTTTTTTGACAAAAGCAATATGCATTTAGTAGAAACTGTAAGTACCCACACAATCATTCTGTTTTTCACTTTCAGTACAATAGTCAATAAATTACATGAAATACTCAACACTTTACAGGTTGAGCATCCCAAATCTGAAAATCCAAAATCCGAAATGCTCCAAAATCTAAGACTTTTGGGGTGCTGTTATGACACTCAAAGGAAATGCTCATTGCAGCATTCCAGATTTTAGATTTTTGGATTTGAGGTGCTGGACCAGTAAGTATATTCCAATATCTCAAAAAAAAATTTAAATCCAAAATACTTCTGGTCCTAAGTGTTTCTAGATAAGGAGTCCTCAACCTGTATTATAAAATAGGCTTGTATTAGTTGATTTTGCCCAAAAGTAGGCTAATGTAAGTGTTGTGAGCACATTTAAGGTAGGCTAGGTTAAGCTATGATGTTCAGTAGGTTATTAAGTGTATTAAATGTATTTTTGACTTAGGGTATTTTCAGCTTACAATGGGTTTATTGGGATGGAACCTCATAATAAGTGGAGGGGCATCTAAATATATCTCCTATTGGTTCTCTTTCTCTGGAGAACCCCAATACATTATCTTCCAAGTTAGAGGATTTTCTTGTCAGGAATCTTTGCTTATTAGCTCACATTGGGAGTGGGCCACTAGAAAACTAGAGATCTGATGGAAAGCTCTGAGCACGAATGGTCCTCATCCTCTGGGATGGTCGAATCCGCTAGTAGTGACTCTCCTTATCACCTGATCAGAGGGGGGCTGGAGGCCTGGTTCTAATGCTGGGGGGCTGGGTGGTGGTGGAGGAGGGGTGGTTGTGGGTCTCAGCATCCAATGAGCACATCAAATCTTATATTCTGATCGCTGGAGCAGCAGAGCGCCAGGCACAATTTTGTCCTCAGACCAGGGTGAGCAGTTACCTGGCTGTGCAGAGGGAAGGTGGGAATTCAGGTTGGCTTCTGATTGCCTCTTAAACAGACTTTTATTTTAATGATTCTTATTTTAAACCCTTTTCCCCACTCACCTCCCCTTCAGAAGTGACTGACGCCTCCAATTCCTGAGTCTTGAGATTTAGTCCAGAGATGTCCCTTCTACCAGTTAGACAGAATTCAGGTCTCTCAGAACTTCTCTCTTCCTTACCACTTGACCCTCTGCCTTCCACCTCCAAACTGTGCTGATGTTGCCTCCCCTCCCATTCTCCTCACTTCTATGGGCATATGGCTTAATAAAAATATCTTTATTTCTGTGGCAGTGGGGTTGTGATAGTAAGTGGCCACTGTTACGTTGAAGTGGCCAGCGATGCCTTCCTCATTGATAAGATCTTTTGTATTAATAAATACTGCAAAGAACCAGCCTCACTCTTACTTGAAGGGCTCTTGGGCTAATCTCCGCTTCCCAAGTGGTCAGTGAGTGATATTGGAATTTTATAGCTTGATCTTTGTAGATAGAAGAGTAGTTTAAAATGTGTAGATTGAAATAGTGTTTTTCATGGATATTTTACTGAATCCACATTATAGAGAACTCCCATGTAGGGGAAGACATTATGATTGTGTGTGTGTTTGTAGGTTCAGACATAGAAAGTCTCATCTTTAAGAGGCAGGTACAGGAGGCAAGAGGCATATCTGTACATTTCCAAGAAGAGGGAACTGTGTGGCCCCAGCCTTCTAGGGACCAAGAAACACAGAGGGTCAGAGGCTAAGGCTGAGAGAGAGACATACACACACACACACATATAGGGGAAAAATTGCTCTTGAATGCAGTGACAGTGAAAGGCCAGGGAACTTCTAAGGAAAGGCCATTGCTGATGCCAACTGTGCCCAGAGAAGACCAGCCTAAGGTCTGTGGGCGAGAGGCCTAGTAGTCTGAGGTATGCTTGCTTCAGATCTTGCTGACTTTTAATTTTTTCCAATTTAGGGTTATTTTTTCCAATTTGGGAAGTTGCTCACTGTAATGAAATTGCTGAAAGCAGCTAGGATTGGGAAAAATGCTTCCTTGTGTCACCGGGCTAGTCCTTCCTTGTGTCACCTGGCAGGATGGTGTATCATTTAGAGAAGGAGTAACCCGTGAGGATGAACTAAATTCTTTTTTAGCCTAAAGGGAGGCGTGGCACAATCACAGTATGGGACTCTAAAACCACATCAGTGATGAGGAGGGATGGCAGGAAGTGGGCGGGAATTTGAGGCACGGTGGGTAAATTCAGGTAAAACTCCTCCCTCTGCAGATCCTATTTGGCAAGGCTCTGGCAATGCCTTCAATAAAACTGCATCAGAAGTGGCTGGGGGAAGGAGGAGCAGGAAGGGGCTGTCCGGAAGTCAGGGACGTTTCAATCA